GGGAAGAATCAAGGGAGGAAACAGAAGAGCTGAGTAGCAGGGTCTGCAAGTCCAGCTCTTGCTATGGATTTGTCGCACAAATAATTTTGGAAAGGTATAAATACCGACAAAAATAAAACCTACTCATTACATGAAAAAAAATGTGGGACGAGGGTATGTCAGCTTTAGTTAAGGGGGTGAGGGAAGAGGGTTTGAAGGAGGGACATCTAAGATAAACCTGAATTCTGGGAAGAGACCATCATTCAAAATCTGGGGAAGGGGATTCCAGGCAAAGGGAGCTGTGACAGCACAGAGGTGCCAGTTCAAACCAGGGTGAATTCCACAACTAATAACAGTGACTATTTGTGTAGTAATTTTATATTTTGTTTTAAATTATATCTGTTAAATTATGTCCCCACAAAGCCTAATAACCCTGAGGGATTTGGGTCTCCAGTTGCAGTGGGGGAAAACTTGACCAAAACAATGACACCCAGGCCCAGGTTAAGTCCGTTGCAGGCTGGACCTCGGAGCCGTGCTGGGCCTGGGCTGCAGCCTCTGGCAGAGTGTGTGCACCCTTCCCTGTGTGTACGCCCTTCGTTGGGTGTGACGGCCACTTCTGTGTCAAGGTCCCACCACCTCTATGCTGACTCCTCTGCCCTCAAGCTCCATCAGGGAAAAAGGTCCCTGCTTCAAAGACCTTCCAAGATCTGGTTCCCCAGCAACCGAGGCTGAGATGGATTCCTAGGGCAGGAGGATTATGGGGCAGTTCCCTTGCAGGGATACCTGGCAGGGAGTGAGGAAATCCAGACCCCACAGAGGGAGAGATCCCATTGTCATGCTCTTGTAATGGGGGCCTCAGCTGCTGGGATGCTCTGGAGCTGCCACAGCCCTTCAGAAACTTTCCAGCTTTGAGGCCTCGGCACCCTGTGTTGAGTGGTCATTGGCTCCAGGCTGCCCTGGACAGGGAGGAGAAGTTTGGGTAAAGCAGCTCCCTTCAACCACCACCAATTCCCAGGGAAGGATTTTGCTGAGAGTGGTCAGGGAAACACCTCCCAGCTGCTGGGAATGGAAGCTCAGTCCTGAAAGGGAATTTCCAACTCACTCCATAGCGTCCACCGCACACAGCTCTTCAGAAGAGATTCTCACAGAGAGAAGAGCCTCGAGAGGAAGTCAGTGTGGGTGGAACTAAGTTTCTAGAAATCTAGGCTCTTAGAATTCTTGATTTGCTATTTCAGAACTTCCAGTGTGTGATTATCTTAATAGGTAAGGCCGCAACCAGAAATCAGGAATCACTTTAAGCATTTTGAAAAGAGAACGTTAAATAGAGAGGGTTGGTTACTGAAGGGGATGGAAGAGCCAGGAAGCCAAAAGGAATGTTGAAGCAATTGGAACATCATCAGCGAGGCAGGAAGGCTGTGGGGAGCCAGGCAGGGGCATGAGCTCAAGAACGAGGGCCATCCAGGAGCCGCTAGACCCTCAGGCGAAGGTCCAGAAATGGCTCTAGGTACAATCAGGCCTTGCCTGGGCCTTTTCACGGTCAGCTGTGTCCATTAGCCTTTCCAGGTGTCCATGGAGGTCCTACCCACAAACCTAGGATAGACGCTTCCTCCAGTCATGCACCAGATCATAAATCCTTAGTTTTTTATTCCGAAATTGTCCAGAGCCCCATTCAGTTGGTTTCAGCAGGAACAACTATCAGATAGTCCATAAATCCCAACCGTGAGTAACTAGGAATATTCTGTGCATTGAATGAAGCATGAAGGGAGAGGACATTGGATAAGTGACGGGTACTTAACTGATGACTAGCTTGGGATGGTCACAGCTGATGGACACAGCTGACAGTGAAGAGGCCCAGGCAAGGCCTGGTTGTACATAGAGCCATTTCTGGACCTTCTCCTGAGGGTCTAGCGGCTCCTGGATGGCCCTTGTTCTTGAGCTCTGCTCATGCTGCCCCTGGCTTCCCCCAGCCTTCCTGCCTTGCCAGTGTTCCAGTGGCTTCAACATTCCTTTCGGCTTCCTGAATCTTCCACCCCCTTCAGTAACCAACCCTTTCTGTTTAATGTTCTGTTTTTAAAATGCTTAGAGTGATTCCTGATTTCTAGTTGGGGCCTTACCTACTGAGATAATTACACACGTCAAGATCTGAAACAGCAAATCAAGAATTCTAAAAGCCCAGATGACTAAAAACAGGTCATTTAGTCGAATCCCTGTCTTTTGATAATTTCCTTCACAACAGTATTGTAAAGTGATTTTCTGGCTCTCTGTTAACTCTTCGCTGCTTTAAATTGGAAACAATAGCTTGGATTTGCAGGGAGGTGGATTTCAGGTTGATTCAAGACAGAACTGTCTGATAATACTATAGACTTCCCAGGGCCACAGATGGCTCCCTGGCACCACTAGTATCTAAGAAGAAACCAAGTGACCAGCCAACATGGCTATTGTGGAATATTCCACCACTGGTTGCTGCAAGATGCTTGATAACTCCTAAAAGTTGTTCCAACTTTAAAATTCCATGATTCTGTAAGCTGCAGCCCTCACTAATCAGATAATACCCACCAGTTAAGTGTACTGAGTCTACAAGCATTTTTAAAAACAAAATTATTTCACATTTTGTCATATAACCAACTGCTGATCCTCATCTTTCTTCTACAGCACAGTAGTACATAAGGCTTTGCAACAAATCGTCAGCTTAAACACAGGCACGGGAAAGCATGTAATAATACTCCGATATTCTTTGTCCTGTTGATGGCACTGAGAGCAAAACAGTGGACAACCCTGGTCTACAGAACAGTGGAGAGACTGGAATTTTATGTTTAAGACAGGGCCTTGCACTGCCAGTAATGCCTAACCAGGGTGTCTAATCTTTGGACTTCCCTGGCCACATTGGAAGAAGAAGAATTGTCTTGGGCCACACATAACATACACTAACACTAATGATAGCTGATGAGAAAAAAAAAAAGTCCTCACATAAATCTCATATTGTTTTAAGAAACTTTGGAAATTTGTGTTGGGCCACATTCAAAACTGTCCGGGCCACAGGTTGGACAATGTTGGTCTAACACAAGATGCCTCAAAACACAGATTTCAGAAACGCATGGATTCTGAGTCCTACGTGTTCAGAAAAAAGTAAGATATCCTTGCTTGGAGTCCCTCTGCAAGTACATAAACAAACACATAAATGAGGTTATGTTGAAGATCAGTCATGCTTCTTGGTGCTAAATTGGAGAAAGAGGAAAATAAGTCATCCGAATGCTGCTTTCAGTACTGACTGGAAGGATGTATGTGGATTTCCGTTTCCAACTCTTTCTTTGCACCTCTCTTACCATGAGCAGTGCCAGCAGACACCTGTGTACCCATTTGTGCTCTGTTTGTGCACTGACCTTGTAACATTTTGTTACTTCATGATACTTCTTTATGCAGAGAGGATTAAGTTTTTTCCTTCAGATTTTATGTTTCACCTATGATGTCCCTGATGGTGTCAGTCCCTGGCACATCTGAGCATGAACTGATGTCCACAAGCCATCAACTGTTTGGCATGTCTGACACTGCTGCATATTCACAGCTGGTTAGTTTGGGAAAAAGAAAAAGTCAGGGGTTGTCACAGAAGTATGTAGGGGGAAATCTCAGTTACTTGATTTCCAAATAAAACAATAAAGGGCCACACTGATGTAAAAGCGATAGATAACTTAATTGGATATATAAAGATAGTAATTTTTAAAGCACTTTATTGTGAATGCACACACCTTCTTTCTTTGAAAAAGGAGCTCCAAACCGTAGAAGAGTAGTTGCCTGTATGCTATCATCTTGTTTCTCAGGTCAGAAACTATTTTGTTTATGCTAATTCCTTTAGGAATGAGGCTGTGGCGACAGGGGTCCCATTAACAATGTATTTTTGTTTTATAAGGGTTTGCACAAACTCACATTTCTCTACCCTTTATATACATTGTGTATTAAGGATTTTGGCGACTTAGAATTTCTGTTATTTAGAGACAGGAAAATCAACATGCCATCTGCAGTCATAACGACTACGATGGATGATCATGATATGCCTTATGAAGTTTACAGAGAATGAGGGCGAACAGGAAAGTCACAGTCATTGTTTGTTGTTCTGTGCACACCATGGTCTTTACTTCTTTTTCTGAAGAGTTCATCACTAACAAGGAAATCACCAGTGACCTTTCCCACACCACTCCGTAGATGGGGTCAAACAACTTCCTTTCCCTTTCATGTAAACATACGGCCACGGCACTCACCTAAGACATTTGGCACAAGCTGTACTTCTCATCATGGTAGTACTTTGAAAAAAAAAATTTATTAAATTAACTCAGTGTGGTTTAATTTGAATACTTGTGACAGAACTTCAAGTTGAAAAATTCACAAACCAGAGCATGTTTCCTAATCAGAGCCTCAGAAATTAGAGTCAGTACTCTATATTCTACGCCTGCAGGTTCTTATAGAGTTATACCAGAATGAGAGCCAAACACTTGAGGAACTACACCCTCCAAATAAAATTATTCTCTTTCATTATGTTATTGAGACATATTTAAGAAACCTTAACTAATGTACGAAGTTATGGCTGGGACCAAGCTTCCAACTCCATTCTCCTGTAAGTGTCTCAGAAATGTCAAATACTTCTCTGCCTCTTCCAACTGCCACCACATTCTCCGCACAACCCAAAAGACAAATGCATGTACCAATGTTGTCATGAGATTTGTCTTATTTTATTGACAACACTTTGAGTTAGTGTTAACTAGCCAAAATATTCCAGTGATACTGCCATGCTTACTATGAAGCCCTAATAGGGAATTTATTAGCTGTGTAAGTGACAAACATGCATCACAAACAACTTCTATAGAGCTCTACTTGTGTAGTTGCTAAAATGTTTGACACCCACTCCATGCCATACTAGCCCTGCTGCAGAGATAACATCTGTGCCGTTGGATAAAGACCATCCCAAGGAGGCCAGCAAAATACATTCAGACTGTGTAACTCTGTGTTATAGAAGAACAAAATTCTCTTACCTTGCATCGTCGTTTTTGTTGGTTCTGAGAACAGAGGAATGAGCAAGAGGTAGATAAGGTAGACAAAGGAGAGCCCATTGTATCGGAATGCACATGCTGTGGGAGGGAAGAGAAAAGAGAGTGAGAAGGTCATTAACAAAGGCAGGTTGACAAAACCAGGGGTGCATAACAAAAGACGGTCTCAGATGTCACTGGATCAAACAGTCACGTCCTGAATAGATATGTCAATCAAAAAGTAATAAATTAGGTATTTATTCTGTGTTCATCACTGTGTTGAGCATGATGAGAAACAGATAATTAAAATACATCAACACTGGTCTTAAAATCTAACCAAGAAATATGAAGGTAAAAGACAAAACTATTAAAAATAATAATAGCTACAATAATTTAAGGGATACACAGTATAAAAATATGTAAATTGTGCCACCATACACATAAAATGGTATTGGGGGTGGACTATAAAAGTTCAGACTTCGGCCGGGCGCGGTGGCTCAAGCCTGTAATCCCAGCACTTTGGGAGGCCGAGGTGGGCGGATCACGAGGTCAGGAGATCGAGACCATCCTGGCCAACACGGTGAAACCCTGTCTCTACTAAAAAATACAAAAAACTAGCCGGGCCGGGGGCGGGCGCCTGTAGTCCCAGCTACTCGGGAGGCTGAGGCAGGAGAATGGCGTGACCCCAGGAGGTGGAGCTTGCAGTGAGCTGAGATCCAGCCACCGCACTCCAGCCTGGGCGACAGAGCGAGACTCCATCTCATAAAACAAAAAGAAAAAGTTCAGACATCTTTTTCTTTGCGACTGAGTTTTGTCCTGTTGTCCAGGCTGGAGTGCAGTGGCATGATCTTGGCTCAGTGCAGCCACTGCCTCCTGGATTCAGGTGATTCTCCTGACTCAGCCTCTCAAGTAGCTGGGATTACGGGCGCACATCACCATGCCTGGCTAATTTTTGTACTTTCAGTAGAGATGGATTTTCGTCATGTTGGCTGGGCTGGTCTTGAATTCTTGACCTCAGGTAATCTGCCCGCCTCAGCCTCCCAAAGTGCTGGGATTACAGGTGTGAGCCACCGCACCTGGCCTAGTGCATACTTTTTATATATGATTAAAGTTAAGTTGTTATCAATTTTAAATACTCTGTTATACTCTAAAATGCTTTATGTAAACCTCATGGTCACCACAAAGCAAAAACCTATAGCAGATACAAAAGACAAAAAGTACAAAATCAAAGCATACCACTAGAGAAAATCACCAAATCACAAAGGAAGACAGCAAGAGAGAAAGAAATGAACAAACTGAAGTACAATATAATCAGAAAATAATAAACAAAATGACAGTAGTAAGTCCTTGGCTACCAATAATTACCTTAATACATTGTATACTATTAGGTGATAGTTACACTAAAAGCCCAAACTTCTCTACTAAGCAATATATCTATGTAACAAAATTGCAGTTGTACCGCCTAAACATACAAAAATAAAAAAGAACATTTTGTTCCTCCACTAGGCCCCATTAGGCCAATGGAGAAATCTAGCAATAAAAGGCAAATGTAAGCACACTTAATTTTTATTTATTTTTTATTTATTTTTTTGAGATGGAGTCTTGCTCTGTCACCCAGGCTGGAGTGTAGTGGTGTGATCTCAGCTCACTGCAAGCTCCGCCTCCTGGGTTCACACCATTCTCCTGCCTCACTCTCCCATGTATCTGGGACTATAGGCACCCACCACCATGTCTGGCTAATTTTTTGTATTTTTACTAGAGACGGGGTTTCACTGTATTAGTCAGGATGGTCTTGATCTCCTGACCTCGTGATCCCCCTGCCTCAGCCTCCCAAAGTGCTGGGATTACAGGTGTGAGCCACCGTGCTAGCTAGAATTTTTTAAAAGACCCAAGTATATGCTACCTGGAAGAAACTCACTTCCCATTTAAGAATACACAGAGACTGAAGGTGAAAGGATAGAAAAAGATATTCTATGCAAATGAAAACCAAAAGACACCAGGGATAGCTAGACTTATATCTGATAAAATAGACTTTAAGAACTGTAAAATGAGATAAAGGTCAATATATAGTGACAAAGGGATCAATTGTAATGGTTGTAAATATATATGCACCCAGGATTGGAACATCTACATATATAAAGCAAATATCAATGGATATAAAGAAAGAGATAAACTATAATGTAATAATAGCAGAGGATTTCAATATCCATTTTTAGAAATGGACAGACCATCCAATCAGAAAATTAATAAGAAAACATCAGACTTAAACTATATTTTAGACCAAATGAACCTAACAGACATATACAGAACAGTCTATCCAACAGTAGCAGGATACACATTCTATTTTTTCTTTTCTTTTTTTTTTTTTGAGATGGAGTCTCGCTCTGTCGCCCAGGCTGGAGTGCAGTGGTGCAATCTCAGCTCACTGCAAGCTCCGCCTCCCGGGTTCACGCCATTCTCCTGCCTCAGCCTCCGAGTAGCTGGGACTACAGGCGCCCGCCACCACGCCTGGCTATTTTTTTGTATTTTTAGTGGAGACGGGGTTTCACCATGTTAGCCAGGACGGTCTCGATCTCCTGACCTCGTGATCTGCCCGCCTCGGCCTCCCAAGGTGCTGAGATTACAGGCGTGAGCCACCACACCCGGCAGAATACACATTCTTCTTAAGCACAGGTGGAGGGTTCTCAGAATAGAGCATATGTTAGGTCACAAAAGAAGTCTCAACAATTTTAAGAAGACTGAAATCATATCAAGTGTCTTTTCCAACCACAATGATATGAAACTAGAAATCAAAAACAGGAGGAATTTCAGAAAATTTGCAAATACATGGAAATTAAACAACATGCTCCTAAACAGTCAATGAGTCAAAGAAGAAAGTAAGAAAGTAAAAGGCAAATTAGAAAATACCTTGAGATTAGCAAAATTGGACACACAACATACCAAAATTTATGGAATCCAGCAAAAGCAGTTCTAAGAGAGAAGCTTATAGCAATAAATGCTTACATGAAAACGAAGAAAGATCTCAAACAACCTACCATTACACCTCAAGGAACTAGAAAAAGAAACGCTAACCAAGCCCAAAGTTGGTAGAAGGAAAGAAATAATAAAGATCAAAGCAGAAACAAATAAAATAGACACTAGAAAATCAATAGAAAAGGTCAATAAAACTATGAGTTGGTTTTTTGAAAAGAAATAAAATCCAGAAACCTTAGACTCAGAAGAAAAGAAAGATCCGAAAAAATAAGATCAGAAATGAAAGAGGAGACATTACCACTGATATCACATGAATATAAAGGATTAGAAGAGATTCTGTGAGCAATTATACATCAATAAACTGGATAACCTAGAAAAAATGAATAAATTCCTAGCAATATACTACCTACCATGATGGAATCATGAAGAAATAAAAAATCTGAGCAGACTAGTAAAAAGTAAGGAGATTAGAATCAGTGATAAAAAAAAAATCTCCCCTCAAAAATAAATGAAGAAATAAATAAAAGCCCAGGGCCTGATGAATTCTACTGAAGGAGAAATAATACCAATTCTTCTCAAATTCTTCCAAGAAAATTAGAGAAGAGGGAATATTTGCAAAGTCATCCTATGTGGTCATCATTACCCTGATACTAAAACCAGACAAGGATAATACAAGCAAAGAAAATTACAGGCCAGTGTCCTTGATGACCATAGATGCACAAGTCCTCAACAAAATGCAAGCAAACCCAACTCAGCAAGAAAAGGGCTCCTTCATCATGATCAAGTGGACTTTATCCCAGGGATGCAAGAATGGTTCAACATACCTATAACTATCAATGTGATACACCTCATTAACAGAATGAAGAACAAAAACCATGTATCTTCTCAAAGATGCAGGAAAACTATCCGGCAAAATTCAACACCCTTCATGGTAAAAATTCTCAACAAATTACATATGGAAGAAATGGACTTCAGTACAATAGAGGCCATATGTAACACACACACAGCTAATATCACACTCAACAGTGACAATTTAAAGCTTTTCTTCTAATACCAGAAATAAGACAAGGATGCCTACTCTTGACACTTCTATTCAATGTGGTATGGGAAGTCCTAGACAGAGAAATTAGGCAAGAAAAAGAAATCAATACATCAAAATTGGAAAGGAAGAAGCAAAGCAAATTTGTCTGTTTGCGGATAACCTGATCTTATATAAAGAAAACCCTAAAGACTCAACCAAAAAATTGTTAGAACTAATTAATTCAGTAAAGTTTCAAAATACAAAATCAACACAAGAAAATCAGTAGTATTCGCTATACACTAACAATGAAGTATCTGAAAAAGAAATTTTAAAAATCCCATTCACAGTAGCTACAAATAATACTTAGAAATAAAGCTAACCAAAGAGGTGAAAGACCTATAAATGGAAGGATATAAAACATTGATAACAGAAATTGAGGCAGACACAAATACAGTCATGGACCTCTTAGCATCAGCAATATGTTCTGAGAAATGCATTGTTAGGTAATTTTGTCCTTGTGGGAACTGTGTGCTTACATAAACAGAGATGGTACACCCTACTGCACACCTAGACAATATGGTGTCGCCTACTGCTCCTAGGCCAAAAACCTGTGCAGCATATGTTACTGTGCTGAATACTACAGGCAACTGTAATATAATGGCAAGGATTTATGTATCTAAACATATCTAAATATAGGAAAAGTACAGTAAAAATATGGCATTATAATCTTATGGGACCAGCCCCACAGACCGTCAGCATTCCTGCTTGGTGGCGATCAAAGGGCATGGAGATCAAGCCCTGAACAGAGATGTTAGTTGAAACAATAAGAAAAAATGAACTCTCTGAAGGGAAGAGCACTAAAGAGAGGCACAAAGGAGGCAGGTGTTTGTCTTAGCTCTGCCTACAGGTGGGATGAGAGGGGGCAAGGAAACTGGCAGGCAGGAAAGAAAAAAGCAGCAGAAAAATGTGAGACGGATATGAGAAAAACCAGGACAGCCCAGCTTCACAAAGGGAAAGGTTTTCACAAAAGAAATCCACTGCAATGGGGAGACTAGATTGTCACGACTGCCGGTGAGGATGTCCTTGCAGACCCTCGCAGAAGGGCTTC